ATACATACACTCATAAACATTTTAATGCTGATAGTCCTAGCCGATTCGCAAAGTTTTGCAATTTTGTACCCCAACCTCGAAATCCACTTCTGTTTTTGGTAGCGTAACGTTAGGTCAGGTCATATTTTGGCTTATATCTTTAAAATCGTACGTTGAATTGTTTTTACCTAATTATTATTAAATTTTTCAAATTGACTTGTTAATCTTTATACCCGGTACTCAAAATGTGTGGAGAAAGTGGATGTGTGAAACGTCCAGAAGGAAGCGTTTCCGACCCCATAAAGTATATACATATATTCTTGATCAGCATCAATAGCCGAGTCGATTGAGCCATGTCTGTCTGTCCGTCCCTATAAGACTCACTTGTCCCTATAAGAGCTAGAGCAACGACAATTTGTATCCAGTGTATGTCACTGTTACAAGTTTATTTCAAAACTTCGCCCCGCCCACTTCCGCCCCACAAATGACGAAAATCTGTGGCATCCACAAATCGCATAGACTATTAGAGCTAGGGCTAGCAAATTTTGTATCCATACTCCTGTTAGATCGCACTGTTACATGTGTATTTCAAAATTTCGCCCCACCCCCTTCCGCCCCCAGAAAGGACAAAAATCTGTGGCATCCACAATATTAAAGATACGAGAAAATTAAAAACGCACAATCATAGAAACCATAGACCATATCTACCAGATTGCAAAATCTGGATCAGATCGGATTATTATTATAGCCAAAAGTAACAAATCAATTTGCACTGGCTACGCAGCGCCCGATTACATGTTCAACCACGTTTTCTGTCTCTCCTGTACGCACTCTTTGTCACTCAATGTAGCCATACTGACTATGTTTGGGTATAAATGTAGAGTTGCTGTCGCAGCAGCAACTCACAACGGTTCCCCCTTTTTTTTAACATTTCGTCGCACACATATGTACATATGTATGTGTGTATGTACTCACATTCGAATTCGAATTCGAGTTCGCTAATATCCATACATACATGTACACTACTGGCCAAAATAATAAGTACATCGGTGTCGTGCTAGTTTGTTATGGATGTAAATTATTTATATTTGCCAAATATTTAAATCAACAATTAAAGTGGGGAACCATCTTAATAAAATTCTATGCATACATTTTTGCTGAATGGACATTTTTGGTCTGCCCAAAATAATAAGTACACTGGTGTTATTTATAAATTTTAAAGAATTAGATAAGGATTTGGTGATAGGGTTGTTGGTTTTTATTGAGTTCCTTCATATTTAAGTACATGCGAGTTAAAAAAATTCTTTAGATAGGCCGTACTTCTGAAGATAAGAAGTTTTCCATAAGTCTTCAAAAAGAAAGGAAAATTGTCCGGAATATTTCGAAAAGTCCTGGACCCTCGGTAAATTTGTTCAGAATGCTTTAATATCTAAAGTGCTAATTGAAAATCGAGGATGGAAGAAGAAATCTTTACAAACAACGGACATCCGCATCATCAGTCTTGCAAAAAAAAATCAGTTCATGTCTTCCAGGGCCATATCCGCTCAAATTGGCAAAGAAAAATCAGGTCTGATGGTTCGTCGGAGACTTCAATATACAGACCTAACAGGACGTATAGTCCGAAAAGTTCCCTTACTCCGAGTAAAAATTTTGAAGATGAGGCAAAAACTCGTTGAAAATCAATTGGCATGGTCTGGGTCAGATGGGTCTTAAAAGTGGAATAATATATTATTGAGAGACGAAACAAAATTAAATCCTTTTGATAATGACTCCAGAAGATGTATACAACGACCCAAAGGCAAAGAATTCGACTTCCGGTACAAAAAGGAAATGGTTAAGAACGGAGGCCGATGTATAGGTATCTGAGGCTATTTTTCATGGCATGGCGTTGAGCCGGTACATCGCATAACTGATCATGTGATCTAATTCGGGTAAAAAAACATATTGACAGATATTATACAACCTTATGCTGAGGAAAACATGCCCTTGGGATGGGACTTTCTACCGGAAACTGACCCAAAGCACACCTCAAAGGTGGTGAAGGCTTGGTTTACAGAAAAAATATCTAAACGTTATGGCTTGGCTAAGTCAGTCTCCTGACTTAAACCCATTTCAAAAACTTTGGGGTGACGTAAAAGGTCGAATTGGTAAAAATGATTTTCAAAAGGAAAAAGAATTGTGGAGAATTTGTGCAAAAAACGTGGTGTGAGATTCCAGTGGAGACTTGCCGCAAACTTATTGCTAGTATGCCAAAAAGAATGGCCGAAAACATCCAAAATAAGTGTGGCTCTATAGAATACTATTAAAAGATTCTAAATTATAAGAAAAAAGTGGTCAAATTTTGATACGCTTTTAGTTTTTCGCTTTGTAGAATTGCTGTACTTATTATTTTGGCCAGGTTTAATCGATCATAAAATATATATTTGAAATGAAAAATGCTTATGATAAATATTTGTATAGTCTATTGTAGGTTAGAAAACTAAAATTAAATTTTATTTTTTAATTATGTTTATTAGAAAAGTTGTATAGGACCTGAAAGAAAGCTCATAAGCGTGTACTTATTATTTTGGCCAGTAGTGTATGTATGAAAATACCTTTCTAAGTGGGACTGATCTAAGAAATTTGTCGCAGTGTCGTCCGGTTAACTACTACACACTGCCTTGTGATCCTGCCTTGTCTCTCTGCCGGTCGACCGAGCCATCGATCGATGCTATCATCAAAATCTTGCCTATGTGCATATTTACATCATATGCACTTTATCATTGCATAACATTGAGAATCAGCTGCTCAAATAATTGCAACTGAATTGAGTCGGGCTGAACCGGGCCAACCTACATACATATGTATGTATGTATCTAAATCGAATCCAACTTGAATCACCGTTTCAGTGGAGTATACAACATATGCAGATTGTATCTATACAGACAACACTCCTCTGTAGTGAATTATACATATACATATATGTATGTATGTGTTTACATAGATTGGTTAATATCTATGTACGTGAATGCTTACTGGTCCATTTACTATACGTATGCATACATATACATACGTGTGTATACATCTGAAAGTATGCAGATATACTGTTTCTTAATCATCCCGTGTAAATTTATGTGTATGTATGTACATTCATATGTAGGCTATTGTATACAGGCTATTCTTTTATGTCTGGTGCGCTAACAGTACAACAAGTGAGAAGAATCAAGCGCACAACAGACGAGCGTAGTGTTAGTCACACACTGTATAGTCTGTATATGAATGTATGTATGTATTTATGTATGTATATCTGAATGTTTCTACGTCGACGTCGCTCGAGCATGAGCATGAAAAAAATCAAGGGAGAGGGAGTCTAGTTATTCCGTGTCGCGGTCTCGTCGCTCTCCAGGTTCTTGTGTGTTGGATTGGTATTGGTTTTTATTTGAGTCTTGATCGGACTGTGCGGCTGTGTTGTTGAGAGTGTGTTAGCAAACTAAACGGTCAGAGCCAAGGTACATTAATAAAAGGTATAGCAGATAAGATCTGGCTCTATTTGGCAGCCAAACCTATACAAAAACGCACATACATACATATGTATGTACACATGCATACGCATATGCTGACGCTTATGCATTCGAAGACGCCTGACACAAACAAAGGGACTGCCTTACTTTATATGTAATTAATATACACACACATATATATACATACATAAGTTGGGCAAACCAGTCAAGCAGGCAGACGATGCCAGACGGCAACACCAGAGAAAAGAGCCAGGCCAACCAGCTATGGATTGTATATAATACATATGTATGTATATAGCTACTGTCGTCGTCTCGTCGTTCTTAGTATTGATTCAGATTCAGTCGATGAGTTTCTCTCGCTTCTGCGCGTTGCGTGTTTCGCAGTGTTTCCGCGATTTTTTCTTTGTCATCATCGTTGCCCACAGTCGCCGCTCGTGCGCCCCTCCGATTTCAACTGTTATACGGCGTTCACTTTGTACGGTGCTTTCAATGTGTATGCTTTTTATCAATTTGCATAATTATCAGTTTTTTGTTTTGATTTCAATTTATTTCTGGGGTGCTATTGTTTTTTTTTTTGGATCTTATGGTTTTTTTTGCATCTGTATATACATACATACATACATACATATGTACATAACAAAAACTAGTTCAAAAATATGATCGCCACAATCTCCCGTTGTTCTCCTAATCTCTGACGCCCCTCTTGTGGATGTTTGTTCCTTCAGTTATGTACGTACATATGTTTGTATGTGTGGGTGAGAAACTGGAAAGTGTGGGAGTGTCACGAGACGGAGAGTAGCACAATAAACCTAAAAAATTATCTTCGTTAGAAAAATTTCCTGCAATTGACAACATTAAACATAATCAACAAATCGATACATGAAAATGTACATATATACATATGTTCATATGTATGTATGTATGTTCATATATGGTGCATGGATGCATGTGTTCTTGGCTCGCCAATAACAGAACGAGTCACAGAAAATTGCCAAGCAGGCAAAAACACCTACGCGAACAGAACAATACCAGCAACATCACCTCAAAGAGAAACCTGAATCGCAACGTTGTGATTTCATTCAACTGCTTGTTGGATGTGTGTGTGTTTGAGTGCGCGTTAGTGTGTCCGCAGAGGGTAAAGTAAAACATGAATGTGCAGACACTACAAACACATGCATATAGATGCACGTGTGTGTAGATATACAAATACAGAAGGAAGTGTAGATAGGCATAAATGTATACGGTAAAGATATGTCTCCCTTGTGTTTCTCAAGACATACCCTGTAGTTCTGAATGTCATTAAACGAGCTTGTATATGGGATTGGTAATGACTCTGTTGGAACTAGCCTCCAAGGTACACCTGGGTAATGGGTATCCAAACGTGTCTAGAAACTTTGCCTCCCTTTGTAGGCAGCTATCGCAATAGGTTGTCTGCTGCCGAGATCATAAGGTAGAGTCTTGGCCCAGACCAGCAGTTCGACACGTGAGCCCCAATGACTTTGCCGTAGGAAATGGTATTGTCCAAATACATTTTATGTGGTTGTCTGTTTTACTTATGTACATGACATACATATTTAGTTAGATAGTTACATTGGCTAGTATGCAGTACTGTTGGGTACTACGCACACATCTATTGGTACTTTGAACTACCCAGAACACCAACGCAACGAGGCTTTTGCATGACTCTCGCAATATGGAAATGTGCTCACTTGTGAAAAGAAAAAAACTAGTGATACATTTGTTTATCGCAAAACACTGGCCAACGAGCTCGAAAGTGAGTGATACAGTTTTGTGCCGAAAAACAGTCGCAAACCAGCTCGCGAGAGTAAAATCGTCTCGCAAAACGGTCGCTTTCACTGCCGCAAAGTAAACGAGGTATGAATCATGTTTCTATCTTATTAGATAACTCAAAGAATTTTTTGAGTTAAGTCTCGCGTTTTTCTTGTAGGCGATATCATTGGCTGGGTACATGAATGAACACACATGCGGTGGTACTTGTTCAGCAGAGACGCAAGCAGCGATAGGAAAAATACGGACAGCGACTCGGATCTCGGTCAGCTGAAATCCCGAAACTTCAATTGAATTTTCATTATTTTGCAAAGGAATGAATAAAGGAAATCTACATTAAAAATGAACATATCATTCGCTCTTTCTATGCCTGTTCTTTGGCCTGCTTCTGCGCATTATTTATACTGGAAGGCCCACCAAATTTGCACAAAGGCGTTGACAGAGAACTCCTCTCAAAAGCACTCGATCACACATACAACGTTGCATAGAGAGAAAAACAGGGAGGAAGAAAGAGACGGAGAGAGCGAGAGAGAGTGAGAGAGTGAGAGAGTGAGAGAGTGAGAGAGTGAGAGAGTGAGAGAGTGAGAGAGAGAGAGAGAGAGAGAGAGAGAGAGAGAGAGAGAGAGAGAGAGAGAGAGTGCCAACGAGCAAGAGAGTGCGCCTAATGCTGCAGGAGTTCCCTGAGTATAAATGATCATAGTATCAATTCCTAAACAAAACGGTGATTCACGAATTAAAGCAATTTATTCATACCTACATACATACATACATATGTATGTATATGCATGCCATGCGTTTTGTATCTACAAATACGATATGTTAAAATTTGTCAATTCAACTAAAATTAAGTGCCAGTGAAGTGAACATAAAAATTGGGAATAGGCCAGACATTCAAAGAAAAATTATTTTTGTTCAGATAATATCTTATTCAAGTATAGCGATAGCTAGCATTAAAACAACAAGCAATCGTTACAGTAAGTATCAGCACCGGCGGTTTCCAGTGGAAGTGTCAATGCCAGTGACATAAGATTCTAAATCCAGTATAGCGGTTATCTATGTACATACTTACATATATACACGTACATACGACTGCATGTTCTTTGCGAACCGGGAACCCCATAAGCTGGCTGCATGAAAAACATAACCAGCTCGAGCACCTGCAGCACGGGGCTGCTGCAATTGCAGAACAATCTAAACAACAGGGAATTGGATATTTTCGGCAAATCAGAAACAGGTGCGTAACATTACTCTTGCTCTCTCTCCTCCTTTCTCTCTCTCTCTCTCTCTTTGGACATGATGCAACTATACTAATAATGTATGCACATATGTACATATATGTATGCATGCATATGGATGCATACATAAATATGTACTTATGTAAGCTGATTCTCGAAGGACAAAGTCAAATGGAACTTGTGTTTTATGTTTTAGGCTATTGTACAGTATTTTGCAGTGATTGATTAATATTGTTCAAATGTACGGGCATACGGCATCTTATTAAATTTGTTCATTGGTACATTGTATATTGTATTGTATATTGAACTATTAACTTTACGAGTAAGGAAGCATCATGGACATATTCATACATATGTATGTATGTATGTAAAAATATACATATGTGCATATATACAAAGAGCGCTGATATACGCTGATCGAAATGTGTATTGTGCTCTAATCTACAAATTTCACAAAGACATTCACAATTCACAATCACATTACCAAAAAAAAAATGAAGTCGCATCCAGGTAAATTCATAAAGTTGAAAAGTCACGAAAGTGTAGCAGGAGTTGCTTGACCGAGCTACTTCCGATTGCAAGATTATAACACGAATTTCCAATACAACAAATACGGTCGCTCCATAGACTATATTTTTTTATCGGGTACTCGAAGAGTTTTTGGATATATTAGTTTTGTGGTGGAAGTGGATGTGAGTAAAACCTAGAATGTATATACATATTCATCACTTTCCCCCTTGTCTTCACTTTACGCATGCAAAAAGTAGGATAATTCGAATGTTCGGTTCTATTCGGTTGTATTCATTTCTTTTTGCGCATTGGTTTATTCCCACTCATTTAACTGAATGCTAACAAATATAAAGCCAACACACACTCGCATTTATTGAGTTATAATTCGTTGTGTGCGTTGCACTCATTTAGCTCTATTCAATTCGAATGCATTCTATTTGGCTTTTGTTTTGAATGCAGACCTCTAGTAATTACATACGTTGTAGATATTGCGCAAATACTGTCTGTATACGCAAATTGTCTTCCGGCGCTGAAAAAATATAATGATTAGTATCATGCGAATGATAATACGGTGTTTTGGCCCGACATAGCGTCTGCTCATTTTGCTAGAATAACTCTGGAGGCTCTTGGCCACTTAAGCATTGAGTTCGCGACTTAGCTTCCAGCCAAAAAACACCGCCTGTTTAATATTAAAAATCAAAGAGTGCTTGCTTAAGTTTCCCGAAAATATAAGGAACGCTGATCGCTATGGTCATGACTTTTCTAAAAATAACTTATAGTCTAATGTTTAGTTGGTCAGACTTGGAATACATTTCATTCCGCATACGGTATTACGTTTTACGAAGAAACGTTTGCGGAACACTGCACTAAACTATCGAAACATTTCAAGCAGACCGTTCACTATTGGATAGTAATCGTCCAGATATATATACCACACATCCAGTCGTATTTTCAGTGGTATTTTATGTGGAGTACGAAGGTTGCGTTGATTCGATTTGTCACCGTTCTTAACAGCTTGTCGTATGAAAAAACTTTGTATAGAAAAACTATTTTTGTATATTCCACGAACCAACCCGACTCTTTATACCCTGCACTCGAAGAGTATAAGGGTACTTATATTGAAGTTGTGGTGAAAGTAAATCTGTGCAACAACCAGGAGGAAGAGTTTTCGACCCCATCTCCGTCTGTCCGTTCCGATGAGCGCCTAGATCTCGAAGACTACAATATATTAGCTAGAGACACCAAATTTTGTATCCACATTGTTACAAGTGTATTTCTAAAGTTCGTCCCGCCCCTTTCCGCCCCAACAAAGCGAAAATCTGTGGTTTCTACAATTTTGAAGATACAATAAGACATGAAACGCAGAGTTGTGAAGAAGGCACTGTGTCTAGCAGGTTGCCGTATCTAGATCAGCTCGGATCATTATTATAATATATACATACATATGTATATATTATTATATTATTAGAATATAGCTTCAGCTTACCGTCTGGGAAATATTAAGCTGCTTTCAAATGCAAAATTTATTATTTTTCTGTAAATGATCTGTGTGCTATTATGAAAAAGATAACTGAAATTGGGGATCCATATGGTATACGATTATGGATAGGGAAAATGTTTGATATCGTTTTTCCATTTTTAACTATAATTTTCATGTTGTTGTGGTTGGAGAAGTGAGTGGAGTCTACTTAGAGAAGACTATCTTTCCTCGTTTAAACGTATTTAAGAAGAGCCCACCTTATAGTAGATTAAGAAATTAGAGAGAATTAGAGATTAATTCAAATAAAATAAAATAGTAGACAACATAACCTAAAACGAGGGGGAACGTTGTGAGTTGCTGCGGACACCGCAACTCTACAGTTATACCCGATACTAAGTCAGTATGGCTCTCCTCCGGCAGACGCCGCTAATATTAAGCGACACGACAAAGAGTGCGTGCGAGAGAGACAGAAAATAGGTCTGAGCGTGACGTCGGGCGCTGCGAAGCCACTGAAAATTGTTTTCTTGCTTTTGGCTACAAAAATGATCCGATCTGATCCAGATTCAGCAATCTGATAGATACGATCATTCTCTATGATTCTGCGTTTTTAGTTTACTCGAATCTGCAATATTGTGGATGCAACAGATTTTCGTCCTTTGTGTGGGCGGAAGGGGGTGAGGCGAAATTTTGAGATATACCTTTTATAGTGAGATCTAACAGAAGTACGGATACCAAATTTGGTTACTCTAGGCTTAATAGTCTCTGAGATTTATGAATATCCCCAGATTTTCATCCTTTGCGGGGGCGGAAGGGGGTGTGGCGAAATTTTGAAACAAACTCGTCTCGGTCCGATATATAAGGAGTGTGGATACCAAATTTGGTTGCTCTAGCTTTTATAGTCTCTGAGATCTAGGCGCTAATGTTTTACTCTAAGCAAAGCCGCCTATGCTACGTGTGTGTTAGAGAGAGACAGGGCGAGAAAAAATGAAATTGTTTTCTTGATGCTGGCTATAATAATAATACGATCCAATTCAGATTCAGATTCTGCAGTCTAAAAGATATGGTCATTCTCTACGATTCTGCGTTTTTGGTTTTCTCGTATCTTTAAAATTGTGGATGCCACAGATTTTCGCCCTTTGTGGGGGCGGAAGTGGGCGGGGCAAAGTTTTGAAATATTTTTGTAGCAGTGACATATCACAGAAGTCTGGATCCAAAACATCGTTGCTCTAGCTCTTATAGTCTTTGAGCATTACGCGCTGAAGGGGACGGACAGACGGACGGACGGACAGACGGACAGACAGACATGGCTCAATCGACTCGGCTATTGATGCTGATCAAGAATATATATACTTTATGGGGTCGGAAACGATTCCTTCTGGACGTTACACACATCCATTTTCACCACAAATCTAATATACCCCAATACTCATTTTGAGTATCGGGTATAAAAATGAATAATAACGAATGTAACATACATATGTAACCCTAACTTAGGAAAGATTATATAATCATAAGAGTCTAGTTTCACCCAAAGAAAACCAATGTGACCTCTAGTGAGCACTGCTCTAATTATAAGCCCCTTGCTTGTAGAACTAGGAAAGCCAAATGATAATAAATAAATAAAATCCTTACTGTGAATGAGTTTATTGTTGAAGCAAACCACCACATAACCTGTGAGATAATTGTTAAGGATGTTATTAAAAAGTCTAAGAATTGAGTGTTAAAGAGAGATTGGAGAGTTTTTAATCGTGGAATATGATAGACGGTTTGGCATCGGAATAGTGCCGTTTGGGAGCCAAGAGCAGATTGGAATTCTAGATATGGGATGGATTGTTTTATTTCAATTGCTGTACTATTGGAGGCGTATGTTGGCGAAGTATTGCATACATTTTTTTTTGCTATGTATGAATGTAGGGGAGAATTTTTCATCTTGCACTTCGACTGATCGTTGTGCTCCAAAAATATTAGCTATGTCTGATGAAATGACTGTAGATATGTTAGTTAGCCACATATTGCTTGGGTCAGAGTTCGAGTGGATATCTTTCGCAAATTCAAGTAATGCATATATTTTAGATTTTCTTAATGGTTTAATGTTTCTTTTTTAAGTTGGGACCATTTCATA